GAGGAACAGATTTCGAGTAGGCATTATGGTGACGCATGATTATGTTGAGGGTGTGGTGGAAGTCTTTACGAAGAACAACCGCATCATGAGAATTAAATTAAATTGATAATAGGAGAAGAGATTGGATGCATCTATCACTCAACAATTTTGGGAGGATCTTAAGGAAGTGGTGCGACGAGTGCCAAGGAGAGAGAAGTTGGTCATAGGAGGCGACCTCAACGAGCATGTGAGCCCAAGTCGTGATGATTTTGAGAATATCCATAGCGGACATGGTTTCGGCACTAGAAATAAAGCGGGAAAGAACATGCTGGATTTTGTCTTGACATATGAGTTGGTCGTGATGAACACTTGTTCAAAAAAAAGGGTCTCTCACCTTGAGAACTATAGAAGTGGAGCTAATAGTACCCAAATTGACTACTTTTTAGTACGGACGACTTGGAGAACTAGCTACACTCATTGTAAGGTTATCCCAGGTGAGAATGTTGTCACTCAGCATAGGATGCTTGTGCTTGATTTTCAAGGTAAAAAGAGAAGACGGGTTAAGTTACATGGGGAGCCAAAGATCAAATGGTGGAGGCTCGAGGGGAATCTCCAACAAAGTTTTACACACAAAATGTTGGAGGAAGATGCATGGTCTATTGATAATGACGCACATGTGGATGATGTGTGGTTATCAATGGATTCCACCATTAACAAAGTGGCGAAGAAGGAGATACTCAGAGAATCTAAAGGATGTCAGCCACCAAAAAAGGACACATCTTGGTGGAATGATGATGTGAAACAAGCAATAATGACCGAAAGGGGGCGCTATAAGAAATTGGGCAAAAGTTGGAGCAACGAGAACATAGAGGAGTACAAGGAGGCAAAAAAAAGCAAAGAAAGCTATAAAGGAAGCAAGAGGAAAAGTAAACAAGGAATTGTATGTAAAAGTGGACTCTAAGGACGAAGAAAAAAAATATTTACAGACTTACTCGCCTTCATGACCGTAGGACTCAAGATATCGGAAACGTTAAGTGTGTGAAGGATGTCCAAAAAAGGGTATTAATGGAGGACGAGGATATAAAAGAAAGGTGAAGGTAATAATTTGATACCTTGTTCAACGGGAATAAAGTGAAAGGTATTGATGATCTTACTATACCAGAGTGTATGGTAAATCAGGACTTTGTGAGAAGGATCCAAACAACAGAAGCTAAAGAGGCTATGAGAAAGATGGGGCGGAAGAAAGCAGTGGACCCAGATGGCATACCGATCGAGGCTTAGAGAAGTTTAGGAGAGAAAGGCATTGAGTGGCTAACACGTTTCTTCAACATGATTTGAAGAAACAACAAAATGTCAGTGAGTTGGCGGAGGCGGAAGAGTACTCTGATTCCCCTATTTAAAAATAAGGGTGATGTTCAAGAATGTGCCAACTATCGAGTGATTAAACTTATGAGTTAACCATGAAACTTTGGGAGCGAGTGGTTGCGCAAAGACTTCGGAAAAGTGTGAAAATTTCGCAGAATTAGTTTGGTTTTATGCCTGGACACTCAACAACACAGGTCATTCACCTTTTTAGACAAGTTGTGGAGAAGTATAGAGACACTAAAAAAGATTTGCATTTGGTGTTCATTGACTTAGAAAAGGCATATTGATAGGGTATCTCGAGAAGTCATTTGGTGGGCCTTAACTAAAAAAGGCATATCACTTAAGTATATTAGTGTCATCATGAATATGTATGAGTCTTGTACTACAAGTGTCCGTACTAGTGTAGGGAGGACCGCAGAGTTTCCTATTACTATCGAAGTGCACCAAGGATCGGGTCTGAGTCATTTCTGATTTAATATAGTCATGGATGAACTTACGATATGAATTCAAAACGATATACCATGGTGCATGATGTTTACCGACATCATGAATCGATTCATGTTAGCCGATCCCAAAATCTTTTGGGATTAAGGCTTGGATGTTGTTGTTATTGTTGTTGTTGTATTCCAACTTGGTTTTGTGAATAAATAAATAAGCAAACAAATGAACAAATAAATGAGTGAAGAGCGAGAAAGAAATAAGTAAAGCAAACAAGCAACCAAGCAAGAAAGTAAATAAATAAATCAAATAAGTAAATAAGCTTGTTTTATCAGCCTAAATGCAGAGATTTGTAGAACTGATTGAAGACACACTTTGTTTACGGTAAAAGCCCTGATACATAAGACCTGCATGCCTAAGGCTCACAGCTCACTATCATCTTCAAGACTTTGATAAGGATGTACAGTAATACAGAAGATTATAGAAGAAGATTCAAGAAAACTAACTGCAATTTTATTAGAGAAGAAGAACAGTAATCGTAACAAATGGCCGAAGCCCCCAGTTGAGCCGAAGCCCCCCAAAGAAAGAGAATAGTTCTCGATCTCCCAAAGTCCCAAAGTCAAAGTCTAAAAACAGCCCCCTAAATCTCCCCTGCTATCTTCTATTTATACTAAACTAATACACTTATTATTATTCTTAGTCTATTAGGCCCAATTCCCAACAGTCTATTAAGCCCAATTCCTAACAATTCTCCCCCCCCCCCCCCCCTAAACATCCACCTTGCCCTCAAGGTGGGCGATAGGACACAGCCACCATCTTCTTCTTTTCCTTCATCCTAGCACCTCTCCCTTTCCAATACTGGATGGATTGCTGGACTTTTAGTTTTGCTGCTTCCATCTTCTTCCCTATGTATTTCACAGTGGATATACACAGATGCCATGACATTTGTTTTTGTAATTTGGTTCTTTCAGATTCTGTGGAGGTGAAGTCACCGCCTGCTGCAACACCGAGGACAGCAACTTCTTGCTTTTGAACACTTTCTTCTTCAATATCAATAGATAACACATGATAGTTCAGCAAGTTTCCTTCTCCTCTCTTATTCACCAAGCTCTTCATCTCCTTATTTGTTCCTAGTTGATGATCTCCTTGTATACTAGCCTTCTGCCCCTGTACCTCCCATTTGATGGTCTGATTTTGAAAATTAACTGCCATATCCCCTAGGCCAGTTAACCAGCTCATTCCCAGCACTACATCCACTCCCCCCAATTGCAGAATGTAAAATTTTTGCAAAATTTCATTTCCTTGTACAACCACTGTTAACCCATCACACCTACCATAGTTGGGAAGAAATTCCCCATTCCCTAACTGCACTTTATTCCCCTTAATGCAATCAAAAGGTATCTTCCATTCCTCAACAATCTTCTGTGAAATAAAATTGTGAGTAGCTCCACAATCAATCAAAATATGCACCTTCTTTTCCTCAATCAGCCATTTCAGATTTCCCAGGACTTTAAATGTTCTCATGAGTGGCGTTCCTTCTTTGTTCAACACAGATAATTGCATAGTCTTAGCTTCCATAAGAATTCCTTCTTCTTTTTGTTCTTTACTAAAGTCAGTCTCAGATTCTTCCTCCCCTTCAGATTGTTCTACCATCATTATTTTAAAATTTTTCATTCTACAAATGTGACCCCGATTCCAGTTTTCACCACATTTAAAACATAACCCTTTCTTACTTCTTTCTTGCAGCTCATTCTGTGATAATCTGGGGCATGTATTCCTGGAGACAGAACTTAATCCTTCTTCCAGCTTCTTGTTATCATTTGAGTTCTTCATCAATTGATTTGTAGGTGTCAGATTATAACTATTTCTACTACCATCTCCCCATTTATGATAGCTCTGTCCACCTGCTGAATTTATTTTCAGAATCTTCTTTCCCTCATCTTTATTCTTTATGATGTTGGCTTCATGGTTCTTGTTTTCAATCAAGGAAGCTGTGTCCATGACAGCAGCTAGGGTTCTTGTAGGATATAATTTCAATTCAGCCCTTACATCTCGTTTCAACCCATTGAGAAACACTCCTCTAAGTACCTCCTCAGTCAGATGCCCCTGCGAAGCTATAGCAACTTCAAACTTATCTCTGTACTCCTTCACCGTCCCTTTCTGCTTCAAACTAAACAAAGATCCCAGAGGATCCTGCACCAAATTTGGTTGAAAACGTTTGCTTAGATCCTTCGTAAAACTCTCCCAAGTCTGGTGACGAGCCTGGCCTTCCCACCATTGGAACCAGCTCAGTGCCTGGTCTTCCATGGCTATCACGGCAACATCAATTTTGTCTTCTTCCTCCGTATGATTCAGGCGGAAATAACGGTTCATTCTTACCAGCCATCCCATAACATCTTCTCCGTTAAAAATTGGTAAGTCAATTTTTCTTCCAGTTTGTTGGCGGTGATCATGTCCCCTGCAGGGATGGTGATGGCGGTGTGGTGGTGAACGGTTGTCGTACCCTTCTGAGTTCTCAGAACTCGCTGAGTGTCGCAAATGATGAAGGTGAGAAGTGCGATGCGATGCAGATGAGCGATGCGGCCTACTTCTCGATCGATCTCGATCGCTTGCATCCAATCTGGCCATAATCGCTGCCAACATCTCCGTCGTTTGTTGATGATTCCTATCCACCTTATCATCCAATCTGTTGTGGTTATTCTCCAACTCATTCATCCGCAAATCCATCTTTGTCCGTGTCCAGACCATCCACAGAATCTACGTTCTCTGATACCAATGATAAGGATGTACAGTAATACAGAAGATTATAGAAGAAGATTCAAGAAAACTAACTGCAATTTTATTAGAGAAGAAGAACAGTAATCGTAACAAATGGCCGAAGCCCCCAGTTGAGCCGAAGCCCCCCAAAGAAAGAGAATAGTTCTCGATCTCCCAAAGTCCCAAAGTCAAAGTCTAAAAACAGCCCAATTCCTAACAGACTTGTTTTCCCAAAGGCCAAAGAAAAGATCTAGGGTACATAGGATTCATAATACAAACACATTCATGTTTGCGCCTATAAGTTATAATGTTATTTGCAGAAAGGATAATGCCAACATAACGTTTACGTGATATGGTTTGTCCAAGATTCATAGCGGAGTATTAGTGCATGTTTAATGTAGATGGTACATCTACCTCCCTTGTAATATTATTTAGAGATCTAATATGGATCTTGAGTTTACCAGCATTTTTTATAGTGTGAATGGACTTGCATCTGTTGTTTAATACGCTCACTTGGAGTGAAAATGAATGAAGTAGCAACACTTGCGGAACCTCCTGCAATGCAATGGGCTAAAGATTGATACTCCTGGGTGAAAAAGGAAAGAAAATGTAAATTCTTCAGGATAGGAGTTGAATAAGAATTGTGACAACATTATGATGAATCGATAAACCTGAAACTTGAAAGAAAACTTTTCAGTAAGTTATTGATCCATCTTGTTCCATTTTGTTTGGAGGGGAAATGGCTTGTTTGGTAAACAAGAAATTCTTTTACTTTCCAAGCTAATTCCTTCCTACAACTCTTTCAGTTCTCATTCCATAGTTTTTTATACGAGAGATTTCTTCACAAGAATTGGAATTCCTAAGTACAGTGATAAAGAACTCTTCATTCTATCTCCTAGAGATGTTGTTTTTGCCTCTAATTTTTCCATCATGGGCCTCATCTATATCAACCAAACTGCAGAATTTGAACGGTTGAACCTGTTCTTCATTTCTTTTCTTTCCTTTTATTTATTTTTTGTTTTCTCTTTCTTTTTCTTCATTCATTTAGTTGGTTTCTCAACCTATTCCCAGCTTGTGCTCTAGCTGCAAATTTCCAAAAGAGTTTTTTCTTTCATCTTTAATACGGAGTATCTCTTTTTCTCTATATATGTAGTTTTCGATTCATTGAGGATAGGATTGGAATAAGATCTCCATTATTTACACTTCCAACCATTTCCTGCAATTGTCACTACTCTTTCTTTGTTATACAAGAAAGGAAAATAACCTTTTTTTATTTCATTAGCTCATTCCCAAAACATATTTATCCTACCGTATTTAAGAGACAAAATTTTGGGTTCAATTTCAGATCCTTCAGTACTCAACCAATATATATATACCAATATATATACACATAGTAGTCAATCAACCGTGTGTTGCGTAGACAACAAATGAAATTAGTTTAATTATGAAAAAAATCACAAGTATTAATGTAATATGTATATTAATTTAATATTGTATAAAATTATAACATGATATAAAATTGTATTAAAAGTGCATTTATGATATTTGTTAGAGATACTCTAATTAATATTAAATTATCAAATAAACATTCTTCTCTGAATTCCGTCCTTGATTTTTCTTGTCTAATGAATATGATAATAAATATTATCATCTTAAAATTTACATTAATTATTCATAATTTGATGATTATTCTATACATTACTTTTACTCTCTCTCAAGCACTTGATATATTTATTTATTATAAAAACTCATTTTATTTTTTACGACTAATAGAAAGTGATAAATTTCAGAGTTCATTACATTTTATAATTTCTAAATGTGCCCCATCCTAGGATGGAAATAATTGCTCTATAATATTTCCCTTCATTAATATCAGTATCTATTAATATCAGTATGTGTTATAACTTATAAGAACTGTTGATATAAAGATAAATATAAATAGAAATCATGAAGTCAAAGTTTATCTAGAAAAAAGAATTAATATATAATAATCATAGTATTTACTATAAATGAAAATTGTAATATTATAATAATTACTTAATAAGACGTGAAACCATATTCTTCTCATTTCCATTTATGCATGTATGTAGGGTATATAAGATTTTTACTTAAAAATATATTCTAAAAGATTACCCTATCAAAATTTTGCACAAAAATGTTATAAGAAAATGAATACTTCTAATAACATCATTTTTTAAATACTTTTATACATACTTTGATAGAGATTGTTGTTTATTCTCATAAAGACAATGTAAGATTTAACTAATTCCAATTTTATAATAGTTGAATTCAATTTAGTACAACCATTTGGTCATGTGAAAACTATCAAATAGGTCCATGTCCTTTTAATGAAAAGTGAGTTGAGTTCTCGTACTTTTAAGTGAATCAATCAAATCCGCGAAGTGTTAAAAATTGGTCAAATTTGCTATTTAGCCACTAATTATCATCGTTGTTTTCATACGATGCTTGCAGCCGGATTTGATATGCTTGAATATAACATAGTACCCTCCACATTATCTATATTTTGAATTTAGAACACTTCATTTTTCTATCATTATTTTCTCTCTTATTTGGTTATGCTTATGTTTCTAATGTTTTTGGAATTGGTTTGTTTTTTATTTATTGTCTTTACTCAAAATTTTCTAATGCTTGATTTATTAACTAATACTTTGTAACTATTAATTAGATTTGTACTTGATCCTTGATTGTTATTATTTGTGAAGTAATTAAATTGTGGAGTAATTAAATGCTTCATTAAGACAACAAATTTTCACGTTCTTTTGACTCAAAATGGAAGGGTTTAATGCAACAAATCCCCTCGTGAAATATAAATTTGGCGCATTTGCCTCCTGCCCTGTGATTTAAAAAATGCACCAAACCCCTGTGTTTCAATTATTCATGCGCAAAACACCCTTCAAGAACAAATTTTACAATTTTAAAATCACTTTTCTTAATAATATGAATGAATATGCAAGTAACTTTGTCAAAATTTCTAAATTATACAAAAACAACTAATCATTTTTCATTATTTGGCAATTAATTTGTTCATAGAAGGGGTCTTGCGCATGAATAACTATAACACAGGGGGTTTGATGCATTTTTTAAATCACATGGCGCTGATGCGCTAAATTTATATTTCACGATGGGGTTTGGTGCATTAAACCCCAAAATAGAATGATATTTTAATTTCCACTATATTCTCTTTATATATACTATATATAGATATGAAAGATTCTAGTGAGAACTGGTCTTAAAACGAGAACGTTTAATCAGAATCTTTCATTTCATTGGTTAGGATATACATGGGGTTCTTTGTGTAATTAATCAAAACTCAAACGGAGTCTTTTTGTAATTATTGTAAAAATATTGCAAAAAAGTCACCTTGTTGATTCTAACCATTGATTTAAAGTATAAAAGGTGGAGATTGAAAGTTCTACTTATAAATGAGTTCTCATTAGGCCTGAGACTTGGAACCGTAAAACCGGGAAAACCAAACCGAACCGAACCAAATTTTCCGGTTCGATTTGGTTCCTAAAATTTTTTACTTTTGTTTATTTCGGTTTGATTCTTATAATATTTGACAAGTTCGGTTCTGAGTCCAATTAATTCTAAATCATAGGAACTGAAGTTCTTATACATTTCGCATGAGTAATCCTAATTTGAGGTACTTCCGGTAGAACTTTTACATAAAATTTTGTCACATTGTTTTTCATGAAGGTAGAATATGTCCACCAAATTACAGCTTAAAATTCAATCGGGAAGTCAGTTAAATAATTTATTGAAAAACATTGCACCAAAATATTTACATGGTATAAAAAACGCAGTGTTTTTTAATTAATTATTTAACTGACTTCCCGATTGAATTTTACCCTGAAATTTATTGAATACAATTGACACTTCATGTAGAACATGCTAAAAAAAATTCATCGAAAAATTCACCAGAAGCACCTCAAATAGACATGGCTAGACAGCGCTCCGATTCAAGAAACTACTACATTTGTCTTGCATAATATGCCTCACATGTCATGGACCAGACCAACCAGAGTAAGTTGCTATTTTACTGTTTGATCCCAACTTCCCTGATTCAGCGAGCAAATCAAGTACATATTTTCGTTGAGATAGAATTATGTCTTTCTTACGCTGTGTTACCTCAATACCCAAGAAGTATTTCAATGAGCCTAGATCTTTTGTCTGGGATTGGCTATGAAGATAATTTTTAAGGGCCAAAATACCTGCATTATCACTACCTGTAAATCTGTAATCACAATATCATCGACATACACCACAAGCAATGTGATACCTCCTTTCGTTCGTCTGTAAAAGAGAGAGTGTTCTGATTTGCCTTTTATCATTCCAAACTATTCAATTGATCGACTGAACTTCCCAAACCATGCACGAGGACTCTATCTCAGACCATAAAGAGATTTACGAAGTTGACAAACTTTACCATACTCCCCTTGAGCAACAAACCCCGGAGGTTGCTCGATGTAAACTTCTCCTTGAAGGTCACCATGCAAGAATGCATTTTTAATGTCCAGCTGATGTAAGTGCCAATCATGAGTTGCAGCGAGTGAAATAAATAACCTGACAGATGTTAATTTAGCAACAGGAGAATAAGTGTCAGAATAATCAACATCATAGGTTTGAGCATAACCCTTCGCAACTAATTGGGCTTTCAACCGAGCAACAGATCCGTCTGGATTAACCTTAACAGCAAAGAACCACTTACATCCAATAGACTTCTTCCCTATAGGCAAGTCTACCAAATCCCAAGTACCATTAAGATCCAAAGCATTCATTTCCTCTACCATGACATGATGCCATTCAGGATGAGACAAAAGTTCTTTAACAAATTTGGGAACAGAAACAGAATCGATGGAAGCAATAAAAGAACATGAGGCAGGGGATAACTGACTATACAACACAATTGAAGAAATAGGATGAGTACAAGACCATGTACCTTTACGTAGTGCTATCGGAAGATCAGGATTTGATGTATAGACAAGATCTGAAGATGCATGTACCGGTTCAGGACATGAGATCAAGGACGGACCAATATCAGGATAAGTAATCATAGATGTCACAGGTGGAGGGTGATCTGGTGCTCTGTTTCGGCGGGTGTAAACCAAGTGTACTGGAGGTCTAGGTTCGGGAACAGTAGCATGTGGAATAACTACAGAAGGTGTAGATTCCGGTACAGTGACAGAGTAAATGAGTATTTCCTCATTGATAAAAGTGTTAAAATATTTTTTTGATTTTTATATCGTCATTATTGGTGTCATATGAAAGGTAATAAAAAGTTATGAATTTTCATATATTTTTTTCTAACAATCGGAGTACAAATAAAAAAGTTATGACACTTTAAAGATAACAGGAGATTTTATTTTGGGTGGGACCCATTACCTTATATATTTGGCTTTGGCATTGCGCGTTACCTGCTTTCTCTCTACATAAGCCGCCACTTCAAGTGGCGGTTCTCCTAACTCGTGTTTATTTGGGCAGTATTTTGGGAAATACTTTTAACCTAACATTAATTTGGGAAATATTTTTTTGTTTGACATTATTTTGGGAAAAAACTCCTAAATT